AAGAGACTCGGCAGTCTGAACAGACCTATAGTCTGGAGAGTCACTACTGAGTCTTTCCGGGCTATCGGTCCCTTGATACTTCCGAGTCTGTTCAGACTGCCGAGTCTCTTTGGACTGCTCGGTCTTTTCAGTCTCCTGAGTCTCTCTGGACTGCAGAGTCTTTTCAGAATGCCAGTCTCTCCAGACTACTGAGTCTTTCCAGACTACCGAGTCTGTTCAGACTACTGAATCTTTCCAGACTCCTGAGTCTCTCCAGACTACAAGCCTCTTCGAACTGCTCTGTCTTTCCAGCCTACCTGTCAAAAGAGAAGAAATGATAGCCAACCGATGACGGCGAATACCTGCAACCCACGGAAAAAAGCAGAGCCGAACCGATAGTTGCGTCAGACAAACGGCACGCATAGCTAAAACCAAGGAAATATCAGAGCAGCGATATGGAAAATCAGAGCAATGATATGACGGGAAAAAAAGATAAATATGTGCAGAAATCCCACTGTGTACCTAGTCCTTCTCTCTCAACGTGTGCTATAACTAGAAGCGGACCAGGCTACTAGATAGCAATTCACTCGGTTCTACTTCTATCATTCAGTCTCAAAGCGCTCAGCCTACTCTTCTCTTTTACATTCAGAATACCTCAGGTTATTCTTGTCTCCTGGGAAGGAACGAGTGAACCAACCTTGTGACACTTTTCAATAATGCTTTTTCATAATGTCTGTGTAAAAACTTAATCACTATCAAACTATTTTGATTGCTTTTCACATTCTATGCAGTGACCACAATTCTTCATTAATGAATCTCAGAAAAATGTGACGGATCCAATTCCAGGCAATAGAACAGTTTCTTATCGCTAGGAGCGATCTAAAGTACAAGAGACTAGGCTGGGAAGAGAGGAGAAGAAGAAGGGAGCCAGGTCGTTTGCAAGGCGGTTTTGTGTCAGTATTCTGCCGTACATATGCCTCGCCGCCTTCCCCACCGCTCACGTGACAACAGGTAAGTTGAATCGTCACATCAAACACCTTGTGCTTGAACATATTGGCTATTCTTTCTAATGATTCATTGATATAGGATTGATGTCCTTGCACGCCACATCCTCCAAGGACTTCCTAATTGGCGCTGGATAGATAGTTTCCTGTTCTTGTTAGTTCAATGCAGGGTTGAAATGATAGTTATTGGTAGTCAACATACTAATTGTTGGAGTGTCAGTAGCCACTGCTCTATAGAGTCAGAGGTTAAAGTGTATATCTGGCCATCCTTTCTGGAGCGGAGTATCATGAAGACATCTGAATCACATATAATGGAGTATTCCTTAACTTTCTTAAATAACCCCTTTCTGCGGCGGATTCTTTGTTGATTTTTTTAACCTCTGGCTCTGTGATTGGCCCTTTTTGGGGATCTGAGTCTTCTGGGTCATCATGATTGGTCACTAGCAGCTTTTGGATGTTGCCTGCGGTTAAGTGGAGGATAAGGAGATGTTAGCAGTTAGAGAACTCTGGT